GCGGTCGATTGAGGATGAGGTGGATTGACCAGCACTTTTCGGATGTTTTTGAGCATATACATAGCTAGGAACAGTTGGAACGCTATACTAGAGCGTTCATTTTACGCATGATCGGGGGATATTTATTAACTGATCACTCTAGCTCGTTTGTATCCCTCAGATACCTGAGTTTCCTCGAAGACCTAGATGTTTGTGGTCAAATGAGTTGGGGGTCATGCGTCCTGGCAAATATGTACAGGGAGTTGTGTGTGGCGACGAATTATGATCACAAGGAAATTGCTGGGTCAGGTATTTTACTGCAATTATGGGCATGGTATCGGTTTCCATTTATTGCACCACCTCATCCACCTTTATCTACATTTCATGTTCCTCTAGGGGCAAGGTTAGTAACTATATTACTTGTGATCGATTTAAGAATAAATATATTTAAAATTAATTTGGAAATTGAAGATTTAATGGTTTTTTTGTTTTTATAACAGGTGGAATTATGCCTTGCATAAACCTAGAGAGGAAACAAAAGAAAAAATTGTGAAGTATAGAGAGTATTTTGACCGTTTAAAAAGAGAGGATGTAAGTTTTAAATTATAATATTATATTGAAGATTTAGATTAAAAAATTGTGATTATAAATGATAATTCGTAAGAACATAATTGTTTTGTTATTTTGCAGTTTGTATGACAACCATACTTGGAGTTACTACCTACATTACCTCCTTACTGTTTGGAGGACTCACACGTATGGAGGTCAACAGTCCCGTTGATTAATTTCCACATCGTCGAGTATCATTATGCAGATCGTGTCATGCGACAATTTGGGATGGTCCAACACATTCCTGCGCCTCCTATTCATCCGGAGAAATTGCATGATCTTTCGTTGAGAGGCAAGGATAACACGGACTGGTCACGCATGCACGTTCAATTTGTGCAGGAGTGGCAGTCACGACATCATCGTGTATGGACACAACCTGCGTGTGATACACCACACTTGAGCTATAGCTCAGAATACATGGTGTGGTATAGGAAACATACAAGGCGATGGATTTCTCCTTCTAGTGCAAAGGAAGGATATGTGGTGAGTACAAATCTACGCATGTTTTTAAATAATTACTTGTGACATATTTTCAAATTTAGTGTTCTGATGATATTTATTATGTTATATGTAGACCGATGTTCTGGAACACATGTATCAAGGCACCAGTGAAGAACATAGGGATTCCTTTGATTTTACCATGATGCATGAGAGCATCGGTCACTGCTTGCAGTTGCGAGACGAGGTGAGCAGGGCCAGTTTCCCTTTTACACCGGCTGCAGCTGCAACATTACCACAACCAGACGAAGTTCAGGTGGAGCACATTGGGGCGGGTCGACGTGAAGGAAAGGGACTAAGTCGTCGACGAAGGCGAGTTGAACACCAGGGTTTACCGATACCAGTTTCTCTGACTAAGCCACCAACTGGGACATATTATCCAAGTACATTGACCCCAGATGCAGATGTGACACAATATGTGTATTGTACTGCACAGGACACATCTTTTGGGTTTGACACAGCAAGAGTCTCTGGTGCAGGTAATTTCCCGGCATCGGAGTCGATGGGTCATGTCCCGAGTATGTCGGGTGGTAGTATGTTCCAGTTTACACCTTCTCCATATGTTCCAAACATGATCTCTCCATCAGCACCTATGATGGATTATCGAGATTATCGATTTGGACAGCAGTCATTTATGGGAGGAGGATTTTATGGTGGGGGTTCATCTTCCCATCATCCAGGTTTAGGGCATGATTTGAATACAGCATTAGCAGCGGAAGCTGGAAGCCCTGAGGGAGATGGTGATGAGTTAGTTTGGAGGAACCCAGATCGTGGTGCTCGCCATAGACAACGGCAATGTATCCTAAGTCCACATGAGCAGCACATGCGGAGAAATGAATAGGTAATTTGAATAATAAGTTGTTAGCACTTAAACTTAATTGATTGTTCTATATTTATTTATTTACCTAAATGTTAACTTTACTAATATAAAATTTTTTTACAGTTGATATGCCACCGGACCACGCTGGTTACACGCTCCAGAAATACGATAATACGTTGAAGAAGTAATTTGTATTTGTTTTAATATTTACTGTAAACGTTGTTGTAATTAATTTATTGTATAACAGAACAATTTAATTAAAGAGCAAAGTGAGCACTTTGTTGCTACATCACTATGGCCATCATCTCCATAGCCCTAACAATCTGATCAAACTAAGGCCTCACCATACTAAAAGAATTCAAACATTCTTTTACTAACACTTCAGCACTACAACTCACCAACACCAACACATATCAGAGATATGACACAGCAAAAACCTAGAAGGATCATTCCCCACAGAGTATCCCAAAAGACTCGACCGGCTCTGATAACCTTACAAGTCAGTTTTGTAGGGTTGAGTTAGGCTTAAATCCACTATTCTAAGAAGGACTAATATTGTTTCCAAACAAAATGAAATAAACTAAGTAAACAAAATAACAAATCTCAATCTATGAACTCCGATAACACATCTTATCAAAGCTTCATCCGTAAACATGCTAAAGTCTAAGCCTCAACATTATCATCACCCTAATGGCCTCTTGCAAAACATACATAAAAGCAACGAGTAAATGGGAGTGAGATATGTCCCACTTTAGCTCCTAGTGTGAGATAAGGCTAGGAAGTCATACACATAATAGTATACAACATATACAATTAATATTCAAAATGTAAACAATATATCAGAGTCATTAGTTACAACAAAGACATATCAAACACATAATTATAAGTAATTACAATTTACACACTTGAAGGATAATACTCATATAAGATTATTTGAAGGTGAATACTCATGTGTGGCTATTTGAAGGCTAATACTCTTGTACGGTTAATACTCATGTGCAATTTTACACACTTGAAGGATAATACTCATATAAGATTGTTTGAAGGTGAATACTCATCTGTGGCTATTTGAAGGCTAATACTCTTGTACGGTTAATACTCATGTGCAATTAATACTCATGTATGGTTGTTCAAAGGCTAATACTCATGTACGGTTACTTCTCATGGGCGATTATAAAATATTTTATACACATGATACATGTCATACATACAAAACTATATATGTAATTTCATCTCATAAACTTATCACGTACTCATGTCATTCACATAACACATCCTTTTCATGTCAATCTCATGCATACACATCATCATAATGTCAATTTCATGTGTACACATCATCATCATCATGTCAATATCATAAATACATATTCAACATATCATATTCAATTATTAACATTAACTAGTATAAGAGTCACATGTTCATAGTTCAAACACAACAATTACACAACATCATATGATACACCTCAAAATAAAATCATTATGAAATCATATAATAATGTATTAATACCTCAATCATAATCACTAAGAGATTAACATCAAACTAAGAATTTAAATTAATAACTTAACTAGTCTCGCAATGTATTGATATCACACATTAATTCCTTTGGTATTGTTATCACCGAGGCATCTCAAGTCGTTAACAATCAACTCTCATTATAATTTATTCACAATTGTTCTCTATCATGATTTATATTTCTTAAACATTGATACAGGTACCCCAAACCATTCATAAGATCAAACACTTAAAGGGTAAAGTTATTCATCATCACTATTTAAAAATTGCATTTCCAAAACTAAATCTCATATGACCTCGTGCCGTACAAATACGATATCTAGAGTTATATACATGTTATATGTTGATCTTAATTTTGTTAGAAATCTTTAAAAATTTTGTACAACTTCTACGTTGACCTCAAAAGTTAATTTTTTCATCTATTATTTTTAAAAATTACAAAATTTCAGTGTTTCATCCTAAATTTGATAGCCTAACATTTGCTCACTAATTTTATCATAGCTTGAGTTCTAAACATTTTTTTAAGGTGGTTCCAATGGCATTTGAAATATAACATCTAGGACTACAACTACTCTATGTGGTCCAAAATACAAGACCAAAATATATGATACCTATACTAACATGATGTATACAAAACATATGAAAATAGCTATAACAAAATATGGCCCATGAAAAGTTCAACTTGGGCCTTCCCAGGCCCATCAGGCCCATTGGGCCCTGACTGGCCCAAACCTTCATGTCTAGCCAACTCCTCTTGGCTCCTTCAATATGTCACCTCTTGCCTTCCTAGGCATGATTCCATCACCTACACAATTAACAAAGATAAAAGAATGCGTGGCACCAGAATAAAACAGGAACAAAACATCCTCTCCTGTTGCTTTTCCCTTTCTCTTCACCAAATCTGATGAAGTGGAGGTCTCTACACTTGATAAAGCAAACATTCTCCCAGCAACAGTAAGCCTGACTGGCATCGGGGCACTCCCAGATGAAGTCAGCAGTGTCTGATAATCTCTAGATATGTGGCCTGGCCTACCACATCTGAAGCAAACATTCCCCGGATGGGAACAATCTATGACCACATGTGCTCCTCCACATATGTAGCATCGCACCAACTGGGCTCCATTCTGATGAGTAGCAGGACGAGGTCCCCTACTAACAACACCTCTCTGAGACTGTGTAGGTCTATCATAGGGTCCCCTCTTTTGGCCTCCCCTCCTAGATCCGGATGATCCCTCCTGAACTTTAGCAGCCTTGTCGCTACTACCACCCTCCAATCTCTCAACAGTCTTTGCCTTCTCAACCAAGGCAGGAAACTCCACTATAGACATAGGGACTATGTCCCTCTTCAGCTCATGCCTCAACCCCTCTACAACTTCCTACATCTCCAAGCCTCAGATACGGCCTGAGAGTAGAAACGAGCCAGATGCTCAAACCTCATAGCATAATCTGGAACAGACATGCTCCCCTGCTGCAGTCTCATGAACTCAACCTCCTTAGCATATCTAACACTTTCTGAGAAATACTTCTCCAATAAAACTCTCTTGAAGCAATCCCAATCTACAACCATACCTCTGATCTCTATCATCTTCCTGGTGCCTCTCCACCAGTACACAATCTCGCCCACCAGCTTGTATATTGCCTAGGCCAACTTCCTCTCCTCAGAAAATCCCAAAACATTGAAGATCTTCTCATAAACTCTGCTAAATCTCTCTCATCCTGAGGTACCACCAGTCTAACTGCCTCAACCGCAGCCATACCCACCTCCATTTGAGCAAAGTGAGCACTTTGTTGCTACATCACTATGGCCATCATCTCCATAGCCCTAACAATCTGATCAAACTAAGGCCTCACCATACTAAAAGAATTCAAACATTCTTTTACTAACACTTCAGCACTACAACTCACCAACACCAACACATATCAGAGATATGACACAGCAAAAACCTACCTCCTATGTACCTCATTCAACAAATCAACAAGTGTCATGTGTTCGTTAAGTTTGATAACTCTCCCACTAGATGGCATGTGTATGACATAATCAAGACCGTACTGAGTTTCAAATATCTGAACATTTTGAAACACAAGAGCAAACATTGTTGCTGAACCCATTCTTCGAACTCACTACTACAATATTTCTATCTTAAGTTGAAGAGAAAGTTTCTGAACATAAAACACACACACACTTATATTTATAGGTAGATGGACCCTAACTAAAATAATAAAATAATATGAAGTGCATAATTTAACAATTTTTTTTCCTTAACAAAATTATAAAACAACAACAACAAATACATATAACTAAAGTGCATAATTTTATGAACATTTAATAACAATATTATCCAAATTTAAATATTACAATCCACAATAGAATTTACATTACAACCATCCAAATTAACAATAAACCTAAAACTAAATTACAAATATTTTTTCTCATCAAATCATATATCCTTCGGAATAACCTGAAAAAAATTAAACATACATTTGTTAAACAATATTACTTACAAAATAAATTATATTTAACTAACACTACTCACCCGTTTTACATTATTTTTAGTTATATTGAGGAAGTAAGGATCACGGAAACCCCTGGGGGCAAACACGGCAACCTGAAGAAAAAACAAACAAATTCAATTCAACACATAAATAACATATAATTTAATTTTATACAACAAATTTTACCTCTTTCAGAATTAACACACACCCCACAACAATGTCTTCCCCATATTCTCGGTGTTGCTTAACTTTGTAATGTAAGCTTGCACCAATCGCTGCAGTTGGGTCCTGAAATAAATATTTACAATTAATTACAAAACAATTTCTTTTAATGTATAAAAAATTCACTAACCATACCTTTAAATTAATAGTATAATTTTCCTGTCCAGTTGGGGTCATAGACTCCACAAAAGCAACAACTGTTGGGACTCTTTGTAAATTGTGGTCGATATTAATCAATGTTGTCACTTCAGGTAGACCTATTGTTAAAAAAATACCAATTACAGTTAACATTATTTGCATCATTAAATTTACACACATGAAACTTAATATGCTAAACAAACCTCTAGATTTCACATAATGCATAGCATAGCGCCACGGGTTAGAGTTGAACACCAACATCGCAGGTCCATTAAGATCAGCCAAAAACTCTTGTGTTGGCAACGGATTTTCAGCTTCCCTGTTCCTCATTGTAGCTTGGACCAAACCAGCTGGTCCAGGAATAACACGGCCAATGTCACGTGTACTAGATGTCTCTTCGTCATCATCCCCAAGTTTTGGTGTAGGGGGTGACAACGGAGACAATGACTCCTGTTCTCGAGCCTCTTCAGCCTGTCTAGCTGCCATTGCACTTCTCATTGACGCCAAAAATTGTTCATCTGTCCATACTTCATTTGATGGAACAATGTCTACTTCTTCGTCACTATCAGGTACGTAATCAATACCTCTACGAGACATTCCTAATCAAATACAAATCAAAATAAATATTTCATTAATATTGTGTCTCAAATTTTAAAATTTCAAATATTCAGTATAATATCACAATTTTTAACATTGCAATAAATACATATATTCAATTATAAAAATCAAATTAAATAGCTTTTTCATTTAAAAAAATATTAATTGGGCCACTGGAACGACCCGTTCTAATTTCAGAACGGGCCGTTCTCATTGCAACAAATGTGTTTGGTCTGTGAATCCAGAACGGCCTCTGAATTTCAGCACGGGCCGTTCTGACTTCAGAACGACCCATTCTGATTTCAGAACGGGCCGTTCTGATTTCAGAACAACCCGTTCTGATTTCGGAACGGCCCGTTCTCAGGGAACTAATCACATGTAAATTTTTGATCCAGAACGCCCTGTTCTAAAAAGAGAACGGGCCGTTCCAAACCATAACTTAACAACCTTTCTTTGAAAACAGGAACGGCCCGTTCTGAATACGTGCTTTTTCAGAACGGCCCGTTCTAGGTTTATAAATCTCGTTTTGAACTTCAAATAAAAAAAAATTCTAATTTTTAATTTTTATACCACTCTACTGTACAAACCTAACAATGATACATACATACAACATATTATAAAATTTAAAATTTAAACTTACAAAAATTTAAACACCCTTACTTACTTGCAGCACCTGGACCACCGAATAAAAAATGTTGGACCACAAACCGAACAAATGAATTTTGTGCAATCCAATACATTTAACTAATTTGATAGCGCCTGGCCCTGAGGCGTTTCTGTAAATCAGTACTGATGGGTGTACAAGGGGCCCAGGGAGAGGGCGTTTTCTCCCCCACACATGCCACATGGAAAAACGCCTGGGGGGAGGCGCCTTTTGTGCACGCCAGCTCAGCATATAAGACGCCTGGGGTTGGGGCGTCTTCACCTAAATGATGCCATGTGTAGATGGCGCCGCCCCCCTGGGCGTTTTCTTTTAGCCATGCCACATCAGCATAGATGGCGCCTGGGGGGGAGGAGTTTTCTAAAAAACGCCCACCCCCCAGGCGTTTTCAGTGCCACGTTGGCGCCTACGTGTCCGAAACTACCTATTTTGGTAAATAGTTTTTTTTAATTTATTTCGTGTATATTTTTTTTTTTATTGAGATGGGTCAAAAAGCCCCCATGAAATGTCAAGATCATCGTAGTCTCAATCACACATGAAAAACATATGTTAAGTTTGTAAAAAGAAAATAACATATAGCATTATGTCAACATCAAATACACATCTTACAACATTTTATCATACAATTTCATTTGTTCATGAATTACAACACACGCAAATTAATTATAAAATCATAACTTTTCAGAATAAATATGACACTTTGACTTTTACTCACTAAATTAATCATAACTTGAGTTCTAAACCTCCTTTTTGAATGATTCTAACACCATTGGAAAGCTAACATATCTAAGACTACAACTCTTGTGAAGAAATAAAAAGCAAATTAATTCATTTAGGACGTTTGCATGGGCATGAAAGTGGGTACGAGTGTTCCATTTGTATGCCTTAGGAAAAAATTCACTACAACAAAGTGTGCATGTGCAATTAATACTCATGTATGGTTGTTCAAAGGCTAATACTCATGTACGGTTACTTCTCATGGGCGATTATAAAATATTTTATACACATGATACATGTCATACATACAAAACTATATATGTAATTTCATCTCATAAACTTATCACGTACTCATGTCATTCACATAACACATCCTTTTCATGTCAATCTCATGCATACACATCATCATAATGTCAATTTCATGTGTACACATCATCATCATCATGTCAATATCATAAATACATATTCAACATATCATATTCAATTATTAACATTAACTAGTATAAGAGTCACATGTTCATAGTTCAAACACAACAATTACACAACATCATATGATACACCTCAAAATAAAATCATTATGAAATCATATAATAATGTATTAATACCTCAATCATAATCACTAAGAGATTAACATCAAACTAAGAATTTAAATTAATAACTTAACTAGTCTCGCAATGTATTGATATCACACATTAATTCCTTTGGTATTGTTATCACCGAGGCATCTCAAGTCGTTAACAATCAACTCTCATTATAATTTATTCACAATTGTTCTCTATCATGATTTATATTTCTTAAACATTGATACAGGTACCCCAAACCATTCATAAGATCAAACACTTAAAGGGTAAAGTTATTCATCATCACTATTTAAAAATTGCATTTCCAAAACTAAATCTCATATGACCTCGTGCCGTACAAATACGATATCTAGAGTTATATACATGTTATATGTTGATCTTAATTTTGTTAGAAATCTTTAAAAATTTTGTACAACTTCTACGTTGACCTCAAAAGTTAATTTTTTCATCTATTATTTTTAAAAATTACAAAATTTCAGTGTTTCATCCTAAATTTGATAGCCTAACATTTGCTCACTAATTTTATCATAGCTTGAGTTCTAAACATTTTTTTAAGGTGGTTCCAATGGCATTTGAAATATAACATCTAGGACTACAACTTTCATGGAGACCACAAAGGAAAATTTAGCTATCTAATTGCTTAAACGAGCCAATCATTCGCTTAAGTGAGGTCAGCTTGCTTAAAATGAGTGTTAAGCGAAGTCAGCTTGCTTGAGGCAAGATAAAACTCGCTCAAAGTGAATGCTACTTGAAACTTTCTATTAGGACTTGCTTGAGTGAGTCTAAGGTCACTTGAAGCAAGATACATTTTAGAAGGTATAAACTTTACTAAAACCTTTGCACATGTTTTCCAGAATAGAGGCCATTAGAATTTTACTTGCTTTTGTTGCATGTACTAGCATGAAATTATACTAGATGGATGTTAAAAGTTCATTTTTAAATGGAACAATCTCAGAAGAACTTTACGTGAGTCAACCTCCTAGTTTTGAAAATGACCTACTATCATCTCATGTTTTTAAACTAAACAAAGCTTTGTATGGATTAAAACAGGCACCACGTGCGTGGTATGAAAAAATAAGCTGTTTTCTAACAAATAATAATTTTATAAGGGGCAAAATTGACAACACCTTCTTTAGAAAAGAAATAAAGGATGATTTCATAATAGTTCAAATCTACGTAGACAACACAATATTTGGTGCTACTAATGAAAATATTTGCCAAGAGTTTTCCAAGCTTATGCAGGATGAATTTGAAATGAGCATGATGGGAGAACTGAAGGTCTTTCTAGGACTTCAAATCATCCAGTCAGATGAAGGAATCAAAATTCATCAGATGAAATATACAAAAGAATTACTACAAAAGTTTAAGATGAAAGATGCAAAACCAATGAAGACACCGATGCATCCTTCAACTACTTTTGGTCTGGACGAAGAATCACCAGACGTTGATAGCACGATGTACTGAGCAATGGTTGGTTCTCTCTTGTACCTAATAGCGTTAAGACCAAACATCATGTTTAGCGTGTACGTCTGTGCTAGGTTTCAAGAACGACCTAAGGAGGTACACTTACAAGCTGTTAAATGAATCTTAAGATACCTTAAAGGAACAGCTAACCTAGGAATCAACATTTATAGAAGCCATAATTTTTCCCTTCTAGGATATTGTGATGCAGATTATGCAGGAGACAAATGGGAGAAAAAAAAGCACTAGCGCAGGATGCCATTTCCTTGGTGATCGAGGCCGTACCCGGTCAAATAAAAATAGTTAAATGTAATACTATGAAGCTTTCCTAGGTTGTCTACCAAGGACCATTTGTCTCTGTCAAAGGTTTAAACACGAAGTGGGGGGTTGTTTTGTTCATAATTAAGGTTAAAACACAATAAATTGCAAATTAGCACAGCAAGCAAAATGGATTGGCTCCTTGTTGAGATTGTAACTCTCTTATCCCTAGTTCTCAAAAGATTTCTCTGTTCAAAACTTAATCCTTGTTCCATCCAAGTTAACCAACTAAGTGAAGATTAACTCAATATTTCCTTACACGAATTAAGCAAACGTATACAACATTAAACCTCCCCACAAGATGAAGCAACCTGTGACTTTGGTGCAGCAGCCTGATTCATTAAGCATGAATAGGTGTTGAAAACATTTTAACACGGAGGTTCAATGAAGAAGAAGAAAGCAGAACACAGATACATATACGAATAAAACCTCAAATAGAGTTTCAATCTGCTCAAGGAGCCAACCCCAAGGGTTTTAGCTTTCCATTCAACAGAAATGAAAACGAAAATGCAAGGAAGGAGGAGAAGAAGAAGAAACTAACAATTTGTATTCATTCAAACAAAAATGTAGTCTCAAAATACAACCAGCAAACAAAACGTGACTGGAGAGAAAAACGTGAAAAATGGAGAAGCAAAAAAACAAAGAGGAAGAAAAACGTAAAAAAGGGAAGAAGCCCCCAAAAACGTGGTCACATCAGATTCTTAATGTTGGCGGTTGCTAGGTCAACCCTAACCTAGACACCTCAGACCTAAAAACGCAAATGGGCCCCCTGCCCATGTGTCTGGCCCAAAATTACAAAATTAAGGTTAACAAAAATGTAAACATGTTACTGATGTGGCGCTGCTATGGCAATGTGGTGCTGACATGGCGCTGATGTGGCACTGTATCTCTTGAAGTCCAAAATTAATATCCAAGCCTAAAAATTCTCCACAATTAACCTAAAAATAATTGACAAACAAAAATTAGACCAAGTGAATCAGAACTGCTTAAGTATCAAGGCAGATTCAGGTATTTATACAGGTTAGAAGTTACATCAGCTACGTGACGTGTTTGTGTTTTTGTTTGTGTTTGTGGAGAATATACACACGCAACACGTATATGTAATAGTATTAAAATGGAATACATGCATCGATCGGCATCACGACAGTCGACAGCGGGTTATACCTTTTGCCCATTCTAAATTAAAAGATAAAAATAAAAATACCAAATTTAAATTTTTTTTAAAATTATTTATCAAAATAAATACTTTGTGTTAACCTGAC